GTTCCACTACTGCTGTCTCAAGGAAGAAGAGTTTTGGGGGGTTTTTTCGTTTTTATATTTTTGCTGGTGCCTAGCACAGACCTATAATTATGTTGGTGTAGGGAACTCCCAATGTGGAAACCTCCTTCACAATGCATATCAGAAACTTGTCTGTAATTTATGGTCTTGCAGAGGTGTTGATGGCACTGAGAAATTAAGAGGCTTGCCTACTCAGAAGCAGGATTTGAATCCATCTTTAAAAAGATGAAGAGACATGATTTTTGGGTAATTAGCCATTTTATTAATAATGTTAGCATTTTAATAAAATAGGTCAGTAGCACTCTGGAATGCCAAAGACCTCACAGTGGTGTGCTCACAGTTTACATGCCCTTGGAAGAGCAGGTGTTCCTCGGGGGAATAATCAACTCTGATTGGTTAACAATTAATGAGAGAATGACTATTATAATGAGAATTGGGTTATACTTATTGGAGTATCACCCAAGTCTTGGTCAAAGAGACTCATTAATTTCCATATCACCTGTCTGCTTAAAAGGGAAAATCCATATTTTCCCAGACCTGTTTGAATAAACACAATGAGTAGGAATCCTCCCATTAGCCTAAACTTAGAATTTTTTCTACTGTCTGATTAAATCTTAGCTTGAGCAAGTCTTTGCCCAAGATTTCCCATACTGGTTGATTTCTGGATGAGGAAACAGAAAAGGGGAAAAACCTTGGTCTTGATTCATTAACTAGTTATTAATACAAGGAGAAATAATCATTTCCCTCAAACTCAGGTCTTCCTGCCTGGGTGAGGCTGTCCTCCTTTCATGCCACATATTATAGACCTCTGACAACTGTTTTAATTCAACATTTTTAAGGTGCTCACTCTGTACAAAATGTTATGCCAGGCACAGGAAGAGGTGATGGGTTCACCCTCCTTAGAGTTTATAAACAAAGGCTGGGAGTGACTTGTTGGGTACATTATAGTAGGGTTCCTTTTGTGTAGCAGTTGGACTAGATGGCCACAGTTGGCCCTTCCAACTCTCATATTCTGGTATTCTGGGATGGAAGAGTTAAGGGTTGTTTTTTGTTTGTTTGTTTGTTTGTTTGTTTTTTAAAGAACAAGAGAAACCTGAGCATGTTTTAGGCAACATGAAATAAATCTGGGTAGGAGGAGTTGTATCTTTGCTCCCAGCTCATGAGCATCATTTCCATGTCTCACTGGGTTGGCTCCACCCATAAAGTTTCTTAAAAGCCAAAAGAGAATATGCCTACCTGAGGGAGCCACTGGGGAATGTCTATGCTGCTGAGAGGAGAAAACTAAAAAGTGGGAGAGGTGGATGAGTCCCAAGGAGGAAGTGATACAGGACACAATCAACATTCCATCTTTGAAAAAGAGGCAAGAACAAAGAGAGGGAAATGTAGGGCCCTGGCTGCTGGGTAGATCCAAGAGAGCTGGGTGAGTCCTGATGCTTGTGGGGGCCCACATCCACTGTACTTGGTGATATAGAGAGCCATGAGCTGAAAAGCAGCAGAATCAAGAATGGTGGAGGATCTCTGGTACCTTGACAGTCAGAACCCCATGAGTGGTAAATGTTTCTCCCTCCCTGCAACAGTGGGAGGAGGAGCTCTCAATTGAAGTACTCAAACGGCTGCCTGGAATTCCTGGGCATATACAGCACTTTGGGCTTGTGCAGCTCTGGGGGGACTGCATTTGGTCTCATTATCTTTGTTTCTATGGTTATTAATAAAGCATATGGTTAATCCATGCTGGTGTGACTCAAAATACAACAGAGAAGAGAAGAGGGAAGTCTTCCTGGTGGAAGGTGGTGGGAGCTGAGACAAGAATATGTTTAATAAATCTACACAGACCATACTAGGAGACTAGTAAGAACATTGCCACCCACAAAAGGGGTAGAGGTAGCTAGCTTTCTGATGATCATAATGAGTTTGCTATTTCTATCCTCTCATGTTGAAAGCAGGGGATATGAAATACTTGTTAAACACTATGGGGACGTGGACAGTGTACGGTTTGGAAATTACCTGAATTGGTAGAACATTTTAGCATGCCTAGAGTGACAAGAGTTAGAGATTATAGAATCACAGATCTAAATCTGGAAGAAATCTCAAAATCCATCTATACTACAGATGAGGAAACTGAGGTCCAGGCCGGACCTTACAATCCACATCGGGGTAGTATTTGAACCTAGTTCCAGAGCCAGTGCTTATTCACCTATAGCTGGCTGCTTTCCCCAAGAGAAAAAGATAAAATGCAAGTCAAAAGGAAAGATGTTCCAGGTGCATTCTATGTAATGCATTTAAGAGAAAAAAAATTACATCTGGAAATGGAAGGTAAACTAGGTTATGGGAGTGGGAGGAATAGGCAAAAAGGGATTATACTGAAGAGAAACAAAAAGGGTAATGGACTAGATATACTGCTGAAACAATACAAATTTTACCTAATAAGTATCACTGAGGCTTGGCAGGGTTGAATACATGAGTAGAATATGGTTCTGGAAAGATATGTTTTATGCCATAGCAACAGGATCAATAAAAGAGGGGTGGTGGAGCAACGCTGCATATTAGGAAGATGGATTAATGTTGGGTGAACCAGGAACATGAGGAAAGAAGCATGGTCAAGTGCACTGGATTGAAGATCAGTGGAAGGGATATCATTATTGGAGTATACAACAGACCTCTGGGACAGACAGAGAACATAGATAAAATACGGGGAAACAGCTTGTAAGCCTGGTACAGGGCCATGATATAGTTGTGATCGGGATAGGACTGGACCTGGGCTGTAATTTTTCTGGTATAGAGAATTCCCTGGTGAGATAAGGAAACTCACTCCACCAATACACGTGAGCACCATCTCTGCGACTTCATGCGTAGAGCACTGAGGAGTGAGGTGAACTGCTGAATCACAAAGTCAGGGTGCATCAGAGGGAGGACTTGAATTAGGTGTTACTGTGATATCAATGTTTTATCCAGCACCCCACACTGCTTCTTGCTGTTAGTGATAAGGGACTTAAATTATCTTCTGCTAAAGTGTGTGTGTTTGCACGCTCTCCCTCCCTCTCTCTCTCTTTCATAAACCTGGATTACCTTAATGATAATTTCACTCTTCAACTAATGAGTACAAAGGCTATTCTGAACTTGATTCTCACCAACACGGAGAAACTGATTACTGGGCTGACAAGTCATCAAGACAAGGCATTTTAAAACAAATTGTACTCAGATCCAGCCATCAAACCCCTTGAAACTAATGATCTCCATGATTTAGAGTTGAAACCATAATTTAGACTGGTTTTAGTTCAAACTTCCCAATATCATGGGCTCTGGGGAGGTCAAGGGGAAAGGGATGGGAAGGGAACAGGCATTTATTAAACATCTACTATTCATCAGGCACTGCGCTATGGGCTTAAATGCTCTTTCATTTGATATAATATTGGGGGGAAGTTTTAGCCAGGAGACTCAACTTTATACCTTGCACTGTGTTTACTTGCTTTGCTTACAAATTATTTGATGTGTGCTGGCATCTGAGAAGGAGTCTTCATATACCATTTCTCTTTGCCAATGAAAGTGATGAAGAAAGGGACGTATGTATGATTAGGGAGGCCTAGTAATCAACCTTGTATTGACTTTTGTCTTGCTTTGTCTACTTTTCCAAAACAATACGCACAAGGATGATGGGATACTAATGTGTGCTTTACAGGCAATCAGGGGGAGGGTTATAAATAGAACCAGTTTGAGAATAAAACAGATTAGCTTTCATGCACAGTCTGCTTGATAAAAGGTATCAATTTACATTTAACAAATGGGAATTTTCAGCCTGATTCTCCCCTGCTGGTCCACAAGGGCAAAGCAGTAAACACTATGGAGCCACTAAAAGAAGTATGGTATAATGGAAAGAGTGCCAGTTCTGGAGTGAGAGGAGCTGGGTCCAAATCTTTCTTTACTTGCTATCTGGGTGACCTTGGACAGGTCATTTAACACCAGTGGGCTCTAATTTTTGTTTTATTTTGTTTTGTTTTTCTGAAAAATGAATAGGTTTTACTAGGTGGTCTCTGAGGTTTCTTTTGACTCTAGATCTATGATCCTATGAAATAACTTTCCTTTTGTTTCACTATTTCTTCCTGTGGTGGAGGAATCTCTCACACCACACAAACCTATGGAGAGATTTCCTCCATAGATTTACAATAACCCAACTGGCTGAATATTAACTTGGATTTATATAGTACCTTTCTGCCAATATCTCAAAGTAGTATAGTATATATAACTCTACTCCATTTCTCCCCCTACAAAAAAAAAATAAAGAAATCTCTTTTAGAAAAAATACAGATAGTCACACAACACAAATTCCTCCACTGGCCATGTCCTCAAATGTATATTTCATTGTACACCCTGAGCCCATCCTCTCTCTGTCAAGAAGTAGGTAGCCTTTGTCATCAGCAGTCCATGATTGTTCATTGCATTGATCAGTTCTCTCGCCTTTTAAAATCATTTTCTTTTACAATGTTGTAGCCATTGTAGAAATGTACTCCTGATTCTGCTCATTTCATGATTGCACATAGATCTTCCCAAGTTTTTCTGGATCCATCCTTTTTGTCATTTCCTGTGGCTCAACCAGAACTACAGCCCTAAATCACTAAACTGTCAATACCCTTTGATCCAGCAATACCATTACTACACATGTATCCCAAAGGGGTCACACATTCAGGGATGTGGCAAAGCGTACTGGCTGCCCATCTCTTGTATGTTGCTCCCGCTATGTGACCAGCAATTTTCTTTTCTGCCCATACATCTCCTGGATGTTGTCTTTTCCACCACTTCTTGCATTCCAGTAGTCACTGATCTTACACTATAGTCTATTTATGCTCACTGTATGTATCTCCATTGTCCTCTGTGTGACCTGCAAGTTTAGAGACTTTCACATTTTGTGCCAAAAAAAATTTAGGCTTTTAAAAATGTAGAAATCTCTCTCTCTCTTTCATTAAATGCAGAATTTTTTTTTAAAATAGGAGTTTTTGCTTCAGACAGAAGCTTGGGGTCATTGGCAAGCATGGTACTATTTTCCAAAGGTAATTCATCCTACTCTTTTCATCCTATTCAATTCTGAAACCTAGTAACTCCTAGTTCTGGCCAGCTTTGAAAAAGACAAAAAGATGAGAAAAGAAATCATCAACATTGTGGTAAAACAAAGAGAATTTCTATGTGTTCTGTACTTAGAACTCTCTATAGCACTCTCTATATGTATAAATGTATATATACATGGTATACACATTTTTAAATATATATATATATGTATGTGATTGATATGTATGTATATATGTATAAATGGCAGATGGTGCGGTGGATAGAATACTAGACCTAGAGTCAGAAACACTGGAGTTCAAATTTGGTCTCAGACCTACACTAGACCTTATGACCCTGAGTAGGCTGTGTAAACGCTATCTGCCTCAGTTTCCACATCTGTAAAGTGGGAATAGTAATAATAATAACATCTACCTCCCAGGGCTGTGGTGAGGATCAAATGAGATAATATCTCTAGAGGACTTTGCAAAACTTAACATGTTATATAAATGCTGGCTATTGTTATTATAACAGCATCAAGGAAATACAAAAAGCACTCAATTTCAAAAAAAGATCAGAGAAAATTAGAAAAATCGAGCTGTTAACAAAAAATAAAGGTAGATGGCTATATAAAAGCATAATAGAATAAAGGTTTTTAAAGAGTTTAAATAATTTTACCCTTGAGAACAATACTGTTCTATGAGTGTTATCTTGTTTATACTTTATAATCATGTCTCTCATATAATCATATAATCAAACGTCTCTCTTAACTGGGTATTCATAGTTAGGGGTGTAATTTTCAAAATTTTGGGGAAAATTGAAATATATATGTAACCCTAATATCCCTATTGAGAATCCCAGTACAATTTTGGGAAACCTCTCACAAAGTTACTTTGTCTTGTTTTTCCATCCGCACCTATACACCCACCCAGAGAAACCCTGGCAGCTTAAATATCTGTGTCAGATTGTTTAACCCCAGTTGGGCCCCTCGCTCCTCTGAAAGCATTCAGGTCAACGAAAGCAGCAAACAGAGAACAGACTTAAGGTGGTAACAAACACAGAAAGGATTAACATCTGAATCTTTGGAAAATCAAGAAAACCCTTTCTAGTTGGTCTCCTCCCTCTACCCGGAGTTCCCATAATTCATGAAGATGCCCCAGGTGAAGTTCTGTCCAAGAGCAAAGACGGCTGATCCTGGTGCCTGCTGGCACCACCATGTGGTGCTGGCTCCTTTTTTCTAGGCAACTCATGCTGTTCATCCAGGTTAGCAGATGGCTTAGAAGTTCTTCCTTTCTCCTTCTGTCCCTTTTAACAGTGTAGTCTCATCTTATCAGAATATTAAATTTAATAATCAATTCAGATAATTTACATTTGTTAGCTGTATTCATCTTTAAATCCATTTCTCTTTATGTATAAATAGAGATAAAAGAGTTGAACTTGCAGGATTCTAACAATTCTTAGTTATGCCTAGTTTATGAGAAATAGGCAAAAAAGGTGAGGAAAGACAGAACCATGAACATAACAGAAAGACAAAGAAAGTAATGATATGTTCTGGACTCAGTACTCTGTCCAGCATCAAGCATGTACAAAAAGAACTCATTAAGGAAAAAATCTTATTTGTATTGTTATCTCTTGTTTTAACACGAGCTTTATTTCTAAATATATTTCTCCCCTTCTCCCACCTATAACCGATTTTAAAAGATGGGGGAAAAAGCATTTCAGCAAAACTAACCAACACATCAGTCATTTCTGCCAGTATATGCAATGTTCCTTACCCATAGTCCTCTACATCTTCAAGAAAGGAGAGTGAAATATATTTTCCCAACTCTTCTCCAAAATCAAGTTTTGCCATCATAAGTAGTGTTCAGTTTCGGGTTTTTTCATCCTTTCTGTTGACATCATTGTAGTCATTGTGCATATTCTTTTCTTAATTCTGCTTATTTCATTCTGAAAGTACTCATTTAAAACACTGAGAAAAGTAGAACTCTACAAGTGCAATTTTTGTAAGGCAGAAAAAAATCTAGTTAGTGATAATGATGCGGAGGCTAATGGTAGATAGCATTTATGCGGTGCTCTAAGGTTTGAAAAGCACTCTACATATGTAATCTCTTCCTACGTTCCCCCTCATTTGAGGGCGGCAGAATTAAAGATATGTGAGGAGATAGTAAGAGAACACCTAGCATCTCTAAATAAGTTTAAGTCTTGTGTCCTGGACAAATCATTAGGAGATTCACTAATGTAATCACTGAAGGATTAATAATGGTGGAAAAATCGTGGCAAAGACCAAGGCCCAAAATCTGGAGATGAGTAAATATTGTTCTGATTTCTGGCCAAAGGGACAAGATGACCAGCAACCAGAAGTCTGTCTTGAGAGGCATCTATAAGGTACAGTCCAGGGATAGAGAATAAAATAGGGATGGGGAAATGGTTTCCAGTGGGCAATGTGGGTAAGCAAGAGCAAAAATTGACAATTTGTGTTAAGGTGTCAGGGAGGTCTGGTTTCTAGGGGTATGGAATATCCAGGGTACAACAGATAGGCTTAAGTGACCCAGATTAGAGCAAAATGCTGGTGCATCTGAAATGGACAGCTTGAATGGCTCATCTGATTGGCTGTGGTGGTTCTGTTGTACTGACTCTTCAGAGCTGGGCTGCATGGTTTAGCCCACTGCCACATTCATTATCTATAAGCCTGTGAGTTTCATGTTAGTCCCAGGCAGAATTCTAGAATGGGTTATTAAACAGATAGTTTATGAGAATTTAGAAAGTGATATCTAGAAGCGAGCATGGGTTTACTAAGAACATGTCATGGAGCACTAATTTAATTTTCCTGTGACAGGATTACTAGATTAGGGGAATGCTATAAAAATATTGTATGTGGATTTCTGCCAGGTATTTGGCATGATCTCTCATGATATTTATTGAATCACTGACTCTATACTTTGCTCAAACTGGTTTATGAGTTATTCTTTCAATTATACCTGCCATCTAGGCAGCTAGGTGACCTAAAGGGGAGTGTTGGATTTACGAGTCAGAAAAACCCACGTTTGAGTGATGCCTCAGATAATAGCTATGTGATGCTTCATCTAATCCATAAACTGCAGAAATCAATAGCTCCTACCTCAAAGGGTTACTGAAAGGAATATACACATATATGTATATATGCATATATATGTATGTGTGTATATATATATATATATATATATATATATATATATGTATTAGCAACTATTTTTATCTTTATGCTTTTGCACAAATTGCCTCCATGCCTGGAATGCCCTCCCTCCTTACCATCACCTCTTAACCACACCACCTCCTAAATGAAGCCTTTTCTGATCCCCTTAAATGTTAGTGCTGTTTTCTTTCTAAAAATACATTACATAATTACATAACTATGTATTTATGCACACACTGACTCTCCTGATAGGATTCAAGCTCCTTGGGCATAGAGATTGTTTCATTCTTTGTCTCTGTATTCCCTAGCACCTAGAACAATACTAGGGGGGCTACTTGCATAAGGCAGGCTCTTCATCCATATTGGCTGAACTCAGCTGAATTGAATTGATAAGAACAACACAAACTAGTGAGTAGGGATAAAAAAAAAATAGAACCTGAAGGAAAAAAATCCTCCTGGAAAAAGAGAGTATGGGCTGTTGTGATCTGAGAGGGGCAAAGAGATGCTCTACTGGGTCAAACCAGATTTCACTGAATAAGCAGGAAGGAGCCAGGAGAGACTCGTGGCAACATTCTCAAGTGGGAATGACTACATCACAGAGGGAAGATGTAGGTGTCACTGAAGTGAGGTCTTATCTCCCAAAGCTTCTCCCCTCAGATGGGTGTCCCTCACGGCAGGAGTCTGCTAGCCATACTTCTTCTTCTCTCTGCTGCAATGGCATTGCCTGGGATCTGCAGTCTCTCTTTAGAAAATATGGTGAAGTAAGGGGGTAAATTGTAGTAAATCAAGATGGATTTGTGACTGGCTGAATAATCAAATGCCCGAAGAGAATGAATTATCTACCTGGAAGAACGCCTCTGGTGATAATCACAAGGGCTCTGTCCTTGATCCGATCTCATTTAATATCAAAGATTTGAAGATGCTGATGTCATCATTATTGAATTTGAAGATGAAAGGAAGTTTTTGGAGGGACAAGAAAGTTTGGGGGAGATTAGTTAATATTTTGGATGATAGAATGAGGATCTCAAAAGACACCCCCACATACACACACTTAAAAAAAACCACAATTGAACCAATGAGCTCAATCCAATGAGGTGAAATTTAACGACAGTAACTACGTTAAAGTTCTGAATGTGTTCTCAAAAAAAGCCAAGTGTGCTTTGGCAGTTGTATGACATATGGACTGTAAAAAGTGGAAGCAGGAATTACAATAGTCAGGGAAAGAACTACCCAAATTCGTGTGATGTCAACAACAGCAGATACAAGAGCTATTGTGGAGCTTGAATCACCAGCATGTGGCAACCAGATGGTCTGAAGAGGAGGGGAAATGGGGCAAAGAGAAAAAAGGAACCCAAGTGCCTGGGAGGGTAGTGGTGTTATCAAAAGAAGCAGGCAATTTAGGAGGAAGAGTTAGTGCCTAATTCAAGCTCTTTTGATAAGAAAAATAAAGGTAAATCAATGGAAAAGAAAAGGGAAAGCAGCTTTTTTTCTTTGTATCATCCCCACCCTCCAAGCCTTGATGTCTCCATAGACAGCAGAGAATAACTGATACCTTCTCCAAGGCTCTCAATTAGACCAGGTTGTCTCCCAAGGGAATATCAATTTGAAACAAACATCAGGTGATCTCAGGATGACTGAGGAGCTTGTTAACAGATGGAGAGGACTGGCGCCAAGGGGTGTGTATTAGGCAAATGCCTTGATCCTACAATCGGGCCCAGTCATGCAATTCATTATACAGAGATGGAGCTATATTACACTCAGTTGATCTAATTATGGGGTTTATGGATAGTGGACAAACCAATTTAGTAGACAAAGGATACTGAGGCTGCAGCTTCCCTGCCTCACCGCCCAGGCTGCCTGAGAGATGATGCAAAATCCACACTAATGTCAGGAAACCTGCCCAGAATTTTGCAGGCTAGTCCTGAGTGGTCCAGGGGAGTTAAGTGCTATTGGGTTTAATTTTGAGATAGACAAAGGGAGCTGGAACCCTTAATAAATGTACCAATCTGGCATATGAAGATCCTAGTCAATTAGAAATATTCCAAGCGTAAGATTAAAGAGCTAGAGTGGAAGAGACTTCAGAGGCCATCTAATTCAACCTCCTCATTTTACAGATGAGGAAACTGAGACCCAGGGAGGCTAACAGACTTGCCCAAGATCACACAGATAGTAATTATCATAGGAAGAATTTGAACCGAGGCCTTCTGACTCTGGAGCAAGTGTTCCTTCCACTGTACCATGCTGCCTCCAAATTGTAACTGGGAGAAATGAGGAAAGCAGGGCATGGTAGAATCTTTTAGGTTTTAGGGACTGCACTTAATGGATGTTTCACTGTAGCTATTCAGACTAAGACACTCTGTTCCTTCATTAATAATATACAAAAGTGCAGCCCCCTGGGGCTCCTTGCAGGTATGTCGCATTATTTCTTAGATAGTTATCTGTCCTCACAAATGAGCATGAAGCCATAAATCTAAAATGAATACCTGGGACATATGCTGAAGGCACTAGTGGAGTCATCATCTTTGGCACATCCTGGGTTTGAAATTGGGGACTGCAAACTAAATTAGAAAGTTTATATTATGGTGGCCTCTAAAACCCCAAATGCAGAATCCCTTATGGATGGGGTTAAGGTTAAGGCCAAAATTTTCAGCACTGTTACTCAGATAAATAGTCTTGGTCTTTTTCAGAACACTCCTGGTCAGGGATCCCCATTCACAGCTGCATTGGAAAGGATGCCTACTGCCATTCAAATGAGGATATCCCAAGATCTTGGAGAATCTCTCCACAGTTGCATCGTTGACTCCTTGAAAATCAGGATGATGATTCCATGGTCTGTGAAGACAGACCTCCTCACAATCCATAAGCAGTGGCCAGCTTTGGGTGCAGTCTCCTAATGCCTAGGTTGAGAATGAGTGGTTAAGCAGAGGTAATCCATTGAGGTAGTCCACAGAAAAAAAAAAATTCTGTTGAAGGACTTCAGCTGTGGAGGCTAGGCCAAGCAATGCCTAACTAGTAGAAATGTTCAAGTGATTCGGAGGTCTCTTCCAACTTTAGATCTATGATACTATCACACCCCAAGGCCTCAAATGATAGGAGGAGGCTGCTATAGATAGCCTATCATAAGGTAGCAGGAGGATCCCTTCCCTTTGGGAATGAATAGCCATTGCAATGTGAGAAGGAGTGGTTCTATCTGGAACAGTGTAACCTCATCCTCACTTAAGCAGTATCTCTTTTGCCAGATTGTGATTCAGGACCACTTGTTCCATTAGTCTAGGCAACTGGAGGCTATGACAACTGTTGAAAAAATTCTTCAACCCGGGAAACAGAAAGAAAAGTGAGAAAGAAAAAAAGAAAGAAAGGAAAGAAGGAAGGAAGGAAGAAAGAAATGAGGTAGGGAAGAAATGAAAGGAAGGAAAAAAAAGGACAGAGGGAAGAAAAGGAAGGAAGGAGGGAAGGCAGCCAACAACAAAAACAACATAGCTGATCTTGAGATATTCTTGAAAGGTAAACACTCCCATTCATCAGAATGTGGCATCACCATTATCATAGGTAGCATCTATAGAGTGTCTTAATCCTTACAGAGCATTTTACATGTGTTATCTCATTTAACTTCAGAATACTGAACTCCCAGTCAGGAAATAAAATTCCATCTCTAGCATTTCAGTAGCCGTGTGTTTCTAGGCAAATTGCTTAATTTTTCTGAATCTCACTTTCCCCATGTGCAAAGATGGAGGTGATAATAGCATCTACCTCACAGGGTTATTGTTAGGATAAAATGAAGTAATGTATGTAAAACGCCTTGTAAACCTTAAAGTAGCATACATATGTGAGATCCCCTCACAATAAGCCTTCACAACAACCCTAAGAGAAGGGAAGTATTATCATAATTTTAGAGAAGAGGAATTTGAAGGCCAAGAAGTGCAATTGCCTGTAGTCATACTGTTAGTAAGGAGTAGAGGCAGAGACTTCAATCCAGATTTTTCAGCTCAGAATCCAGTGTTCTCACTTCTGTATGACAGATGCCTCTATTTCTGTATCATCCCTAGGTCCAGCACAGCACTTTCCAAACCATGAAAACCCAGTGAATGTTTGAAATGATCACCCCCTCCATCACAACAGAGCCATGCTCTCGTTCTTCCCTAATAGACTCCTCACCGTAATCTACCCAGTGGGGGGTCCCTAGTCTTTCTGTCTCCCCTTCCAGTCTAAGTGGAGAGAATGGCTCTCCATACAAAGGCCAATTCTCTACTGGTATCATTGATCCTAAACATCATTCCCTCTTTCTTTCTACGCATTGGGTCCTTCCATGCTGTTTATAAACACACTCAGCCCTCTCATCTTTAGACTTAGCCCCATCATCTATTGCAGTTAAAATATAAATCCATGTCCTAGTTATATCACAAACTTCCCCCAAGTGTCTTTTGTTCATTAGAGTTGCCATTGTTCAGTCCAGTACTTCAAAGTGATTTTCCAGTGAGACGGCCCTGGCTGGGCCTCACTGACAATAACTTGAGAGAATTACTATCAAACTGCTAGAAAAGGGAGGAATCATTGATATGTCTCCTCCTTTCCCTACCATCCCCCCAGCCTTGGTCTCATTTCTCTCCTAACAGGAACTAGGAGTCGGCAAGATCACATTCCTTTTTGAGGACACCACTTTCCTACCCAGAGAGGTGCAGATCCTGGAGACTCAGAAGATTGAGGCCATCCTGTATCCTGCCGCTTTATTGCCTTAGTTACTTCATGCCCGGAGGGAAGGCCGGTTCCCGCCTTCCCTTCCCACACTATGAAATGGATCATATTAAAATCATATCAAACCCCAACTTCCTTCCAATTACAATTTGCAATCCAACAAATCTAAACTTAATACAAGTATAAGTATAAAAGAATTCAAGCTAATCAAACCAAAATGGAAAAAAATAGAAAAAACAGAATTTGGGCATTCATTAGTTTCCTGTACATAAAGACATTTATCTTGGTCTATAAAATTCAGTATTTTCTTTACTGCACAAATTTAGCAAGAATCATTAGCCGGCCAGACTAAGGACATGAGTCCAATGAACTATATGCAGTTTGTAACTTTTAAGCACCAGATTCCAAAATCAATTCATCACTTTCCACTCTTCCCTCTGGGGGAAGGAGTCCAATTTAACAAAATCACACCAGTAGATTAAACTAACTTTCCTAAATGAAAACACTAACACACACCACCCTATAGTCACTTGCGGTTTTTGGGTTTTTTTTTTAATTGACTCCAATTCCTTTGTGTTCCACCTTTCCCCTTGCTTAGGTTCTTTGGAAGCAACCTTATAAATCAATCCAACTATGGCATCATGGGAAGACAGGTAGGAGAGGAGCAAGATTCAAAGGACAAAGACAATGTTGCCCTTTTCCCTCCTGCCAAACCTGTTATTAACTTTGTATCTTTACTTGTCTGTCTGCATGTGGTAGAATCTAAGCTTGTTGAGGTCAGGAACAGTCTTCTTGTCTTTGTATCTCCAAAGATTGACAGGATGCCCTGCACAAAGGAGGAGCTCCAAGAGGACTTGTTAATTGAACTGAATCATGTGGGAGGCAGTTCACCGATGGGGAGCAGTGAGGGCTGGAGGGGGGCAGGTCTCCATGAGACCCCGCCACAGATGAGATTCTGTGGGACCATCAGCTGATCTTCCGTTGCATGGCTCCTTTGCTTCTGAAGGAGGGCCCCTGCTTCAAGGGCCGATTTGTGATAACATTTAAAAACTGCCAGGCTCTAGTCCTGGTTCTTTCTGTGTAACCTGGAGCAAGTTACTTGGGTCTCGGTTTCCTGATCTGTAAACTGAGCTTGCCAGAAGAGCTACTGTTCCATAACCCCCCCTCCCTTCCACCCAAGGTTTCTTCTGACTCTAAAGCCTATGACCTTATGTAGGGCAAGGTCCCTTGCAGTTCTCACAGTCTATGATACAAAGCCAAAGGACAAGCGTGCTTCAGGCCAGGGAGAGAGCATCCGAAGTGGGGCCAGCCTCCCCATCCTCGCATCATTTGGACCAGCAGTTCACACACACTTAGACTAATGAGTTTTAAAGTTGCTCTGGGGACAAGAGAGGAGGAGGGTGAGTGGGCTAGTTTTGACTCTTCTGGGAAATGAGCAGATGTTGGTTTCATTTCTCCAGCTGCTGCCTCCATATCAGTAACTGTGCTGAGGGCAGTCCCCACATTCCTAGTGATCACTGACCCCCAAGGGAGCCAGCTATACACTCAGGCTCTGTCTTTGAGGTCTGTTGTTTATCTGGGGTGGGCAGGCCCCTGAGCCAAAGGGAGCTGTAGACAAGGAGACCATTCAGGGCTCAAGATGCTTCCTTCTTTCTACAGGATCATTCCCTGCCTCCTTGTGCTTTTATGTTGTTCTTGTTCTGCTTAATAAACTTGATGTGGGGGTAGGGAGTGTTTGAATCACCGGCAACAAAGGTGTATGACTGAGGACATTGGATAAGGATGCACTGGAGCAGGTGGCAGTGCCCGGGCAAACCTCCCCCAAACAGTGCCGCCCCCATCTCCAGCTTTGGCACCAGCCAAAGCTAACCATGACAGACAGACAAACAGAACAGTGGGGTGGGTGCTGGGTCCTGACACATGGGTCTCATTATTGGAGTTCTCCGAGGAAAGAGAGGGCCATGTTTCCACATCTGAGTCCCGAGCCATGGTGAACCCACCCACCTTTTATTCCTTTGTGCAGTGTTAGTTTCTAGCTGTCTATGACATGTACCAAGTTGCAAAGAGGTCTATCATTTGGGATCATGAAGGTCCATCAAATAACCCCTTATTTCCCTGTTTTGTTTCCTATAGCATTATTAGCATCATCATAATTCTGGCAGGAGCAATCGCACTCATCATCGGCTTTGGCATTTCAGGTATGTGATCTGGTGAGTCCTCACAGACAACCGATTTCCCTTTCACCTTAAGGTCCCCTTCTCACAGATCTAGCCCTTCTGGGGGCAACCACACTCTCCACGTGAAGGTCCTGGGGCTCTCAGCCAGTTTACCGAGTGTGTGACCTGGGGAGGCAATCTGTTTGACAACGAGGCTGCCACGGGTGTCTTTAACAGTTCTTAGTCTTTTTTCCCTTATTTTAGACAAAGGCAAAATTCATCATGGCCAAGATAGCATGTTGGTAACAGATGCCACCACAATGTGGGTGCCTGGTTTCTGAATGCAGCTTATGTTTCAGGTTACAGAAAGTTGACTCTCCCTTCTGGTGGACAGGCTATTCCTGGGAAGCACCTGACACACATTCAACTAGCATTAATAGTCAAAGACCCTAAATTGTGCAAATTGGCAAATATTTCCTGCTTTTCCTTTGCACCTGAAAAGAGCCCACGTCTTGGTGTCTTGAGAGAGACCCTAGAGGTTGCCTAGTCCAATGTTTATTACCTCAGTGTCTCCTCTAACATATTACTGAGAAACGGTCATGGTCGGTCTCTGCTAGATGATCTCTGTTGCCTCCTGGGGCAGCCCATTTCACTCTCGAAAAGCTTTACTTCTCAGAAGTGTTTTCTTCTATGAAGCCCAAATTTGCCTCTCTCCAACATCCATCCATTCATTACTCCTGGGTCTGTCCTCTGAAGCCAAAGAGAACAAGTTGAATCCCTCTTTCCACATGCTAGCCCTTCAGATACTTAAAGAGCACTATTGTTAACTTCTCTGGGTCTTTTCTTCTCCAGGCTAAAAATCACCAACCCCTTTAACTGGCTGTCATATAGATATTGTTTCCAGGCTCCCACCCCTTCAGCCCCCCTCCTAGATCAGGGTTCAGCTTGTCAGTGCCCTTCCTAAGATGTCTGATCCAGAACTGAGTGGAACATTCCAGTTGTGTTCTGATTCAGGCAGAGGACAGGCTTTGAGCTGCTTATCTCCTCCTGCAGCCTGTAACAAAAGCTGTCCCTTCATCCCTTTAACTTCGCAGTTTCCACATTTGAGAATGATTTCCCTCCTCTTAGATGGTAGTGGTCTTGGGAATGTACTTGTTCTAATGGCTATGACTCAGTCAAGGCTTTCTATCTCCTTTCCCCCAGCACTTATTACAGATCTTAAGTATGGTGGTTCTATCAGCTGGCTGACTGGCTAGATTGTAGGGTCCTTGAGGGCAGGGACTATCTTTTGCCTGTTTTTGTATCCCCAGCCCTAGCATAGTAGGTACTTAATAAATGTTGATTGATTGATGGATGATGAAGCCTTTGTTGATGCAATGTCCCTTCTTTTTCTTAAATTCTCATCCAAATTTTACTTATAAATCCCTTCATGGGATGTGCCTGTCTAGTTCTGTTTATAACTTGAGAAGACTAATTTACTACTTGGCATGCCTTTATTGTCTTTTATTCTTCCTATATGGCTGGCCTCTCTCCTTTTCTATTCGCATGTCCTCAATAATATATTTTACTCAACTCTTTCTATGTAGTTAGTCCCAGATAATGTATGATAGTCTACTTATACCCACCATCTGTTTTTCCACTGCCCTTTAAGTTGTTTCCAGTTTTAGTCCTTTTGTGATCATGACATCCCGTGATTTGTAGCCACAGAACATCACCCAGAAAATAGTGGTGTTAAAAAGATGGATTTTTTTCAGTGCCAAAGTGTTTGGGAGCACCAGAAGCACTCTGCAATTTCCCAAATGCCAGGAAGCCTTAAGTTCCCCTCCCTTTCCTCATCTGAGCCCATGAATAATGAGGTCACTGTAACACTGTAAATATTCTGCACTAAACTGGCAAAACTTGATGTAGGGAACATTTTCTCAAGAGCTCAGCTGCTGGGACTTCTGAAGAGGTTTCCAGCCTTCTTTTTGATCCTCGGGCCACCAAACTTTGCAGCAGGCCCAGAGAGGAGAAATCCAGCATCCTGGACTTGGGAACTTCAAGTAAGCCCAATTGGCTGGGAACCGTGGTAGAGCAATGAGCAATGTGAAGCCAGGTTACAAAGGAATGTGTAATGTGTCCTCGAACCAGCAGCAGCAGCAGCAGAAGTCTTCCTGTGGAGGGCAGCAGGAGGGTCAGGCCTGTACTTGGGTAGTTCACTTGGCAGCTGATCATAGGTTCATTGATGTAGAGCTAGAAAGGACCTCAGAGGCCACCTGACTCGGCGTTTCATTTTCCAGATGACGAAATCGAAGGTCAGAGACCCTGTGACTGGCCTATGGCCCCCCAGGTACAAAGTATCAGAGGTAGCATTTGAACCCAGGACTCTATTGCACCACAGCCTCTCTGATGAGATAGGAGGACAGACTGGAGGCAAGGAGACCAATGTAATAGTCCAGGCAAGAGACGGGCCTAAACAAGGGTGTTGGGCAGGGACCACTCTAACACTTAGCAAAGAATCCTAATCAATTGAACAAATCTGTATCGAGTTCCTACCATGTGCAAACACTGAGGTAGGCATCCTTGCAAGCTCAATATTTGTTTTTGCTATTCCTCCTACTCTGACATCTTCAGACTTAATTAACATTGATGTTCATTCCATCTGCCACAGTATTAATGAAAACAGTAAATGGGGCCGAGCCCACCACACAACCTAGGGCTCACCACAGGTGCCTGTTTTCAATCATTATGTCCGCTCTAAGAAGTTTCAGTTCGTTTCCTACCTGTGGGCTCAAGGCCCACCCATTTAAATTAATTTGGTGAGTAGCACTATTACTGAGATTGAGATACATCATTACCATTTCACTCCTTTCATAAGCTCTACTAATTGCCTATTTTTATCCAAAAAGCAATCTGCTTTCGTCCAGCATGGCTGATTCTTTATAAACTCCTGCTATGCATAGCCACATTACCCTCAAATTGACAGATGTTTTCTCTTAGTAATCTTTGCTCCATTATTATAATGGGAATTGATGGGGATAGGCATTTTCTTCTCTCTCATCAACCAGCTCCTTCAGTGTCTGAATTTGGTGGCCTTCTCTCCAACTGTTTCCTACTCCCATTGTCACCTTTGGCAGAACTGGGACCAGAAACTGGCCTAGATTTAATCACCATAATGATGACGATAGCTTACATTTTCATGACATTATAGAGTGCTTTATATAAGCACCATGCCTTCTGAGCCTTACAAACAGCCCTGTGAGGTAGGTCATGAAAGTATTATTATTCCTGCCTTATAGATGAGAAGATCAGGGCTCCAGGAAATAAAATGAATCGCATATTAGGACATAGCTAATAAGCAACAAGAGTTGAGGTTTGAACCTAGCCTTTTCCATTCTAAGATCACTGCCCTTTCTACCACCCCATTTTCCTCGTGATTTTTTACAGTGAATATTTTGGGACAGTGTTCTCTGTGGTCAGTTCTTGATGATTAACATCTCTGGCCAGTCATCATTTAGTCTTAACCTAGGGGAGGTAAAATGTATCAAGGCAGCTCTTTCTGGTTTGGGGACAGCTTTAATTCAGTGCCATGAATGACTACCAAACTGGAGAAAATCTCTCAAGTGCATCTCTGGGGGCCTGGATTTAGTGCATTTGTTCTCGAAGTTGTCAGAGAAGCTCCAATTGTTCACAATTGTTACTAATACTTGTGTAAATTATTTTGCAACGTGTACAGTTCAGCAAAAAACAATGCAAGGACCATATTATGGAAACATTGAATACCAGCAAGGATTTTTCTTGCTGTTCTCAGCAGTATATAAAACTGCCCAAATAATTCAGAAGGGTTTTTCATGCATCTGAAGAATGATGGAAGAATCTTGTGACAGAAGGGCCTCTTGTTCAGACTTGCTGACCTCTTGGGTTCCCCCTTTAAACTCTGAGGTTCACCGTAGGTAAGTTCAAGTTGTGAATTGAACTTCACCTTCTCCTTCCCTTGCTCTACACCTCTAAATGAGATGTCAATGATGGGTGAAATGAGCAGAGAAGGACAAGCTACCCATGGTAATCAGGGGGTAGTAATTTACATGGTGTTCTCAGCTTTTCAAGTTTACATTAGGTGAACATTCATTCATCAATGCATGATTTGTTGACCTTGAAATAGTTTTGTCTTAGCTTTCACTTTTTTAAAATTGAGTTTGTTGTGTATTTATTAATCCCTAACTATGAGATAACGATATACTAGAAAGCATACCAGGACTCAGGAAACTTGGATTCAAATCCTACCCCTGCTAATATTTTGTGTGGTTCTGGACAAATCATTTCATTGCTCTGGCCCTTAGGTTCCTCAACAATAAAAGGAGAATAGATGAGATGATATAGGAGACCCCTTCTACCTCTGAAGGTCTCTTCTCCTATTCTAGGCTCTTAAACAGAAAGGCAGGACATTTGAGCTCCTGCTGGCTAGAAATCTCCCTCAGGATTGAATAATGCCCAGCAGGCATTGACCAGTGGGTCATCAAATGCTTTTAACATATGCAAAGTACTTTTACATTTGTTATCTTATTTGATTAGGACAATGGCCCTCTGGGTTTAGAAGAACATGAGATATTATTGCTATTTGACTAGCGAAGAAACAGAGCAAAAGAGAAACTGAATGCTTGGCCAAGGGCACACAGCTCAGGTTCTGCTCAGGTTAGAACTCACTTCCCTTACTTCAACAGCCTGTGCTCTGTCTGGTTGGGCCATGTAGTCTTTCTGTGCCCTCATTTTTCCCATAGTGAAAATAAATGTCTTTGTTCCTCATCAGCAGAGAGGTAGTAAGAATGACTTCAGAGGGATTTTGTCGATCCTGAAAGAAAGGTCTTTTTCATTCATTCTAGAGATCAGAGATCCACATAGGATCATAGAGTGAGGGGGAAGGGACCTCAGAGGTCAACTAACCTAATGCTTTCATTTTATAGATGAGGAACTAAGGTCCAGATAGATTGAATAACTTTGTCTCAGTCACCCAGGTATCAGAATTAATAATTTAGTGCTTTCCATGTCCATTTCTCTTCAAATAT